GTCGGTCTTTAACCCCAGCCCTGCTGAAAGCTCAGTGAGCAGTCAGTCACGTGATAACCACAGCCTTATCCAGGTCGCAAACAGGACGTTGTTGACGGTCATGTGGCAGGAAGTTTTCGGCCTCTTCCTGATTAAGGCGCTGGACCTACAGAAACGCGTCAGGAACACATCGCTGTGCTCACAGCATTCAAACTCAAACACTTCCGCCCACGCCGAGCATTTTCTCCCCTCCTCAGAGCTAACCGTCCAAACAGAAACCAGCTCTGTCTCCATGAAAACACCCACAGCTTCCTCTGCTGCATCGCCACAGGAGCGCATGGATCCAGATCATGACGTCAGTCCACAGCCTTTACACTGTGAGACCCTCTGCACTAATGGCTCCACCCACTCCAACCTTCTGACCCGGAGCTCCATGGTTAATTCAAAAACGACTCAAACAGGAAGAGGAAGCACTGCGTTTGTTTGTAACCTGTGGTTTACACATGTGCACTGAAGTCTGATTGGACACAATGCTCTTGTCTCTTAACCACAAACCACCAATCAAGCTCCTCCACCGCCAGCCTAATTTCCCCATCTAAACATTGTCCGATATGGTTGGACGAGAATGAGGAGATGCAGCAATGCTGAGAAACGCATCATCATCATCATCATCATCATCATATTCTGGCTCTAGCGGGCTCACAGTGCTTTCTGAGGACCTCCTGTTTACAGGAACAGACCACAGACAGAAACCAGATCCTGAAACAGGCATCAACAGGACGCTGCTGGGTCGGGTCAGGAGACCTTTTTAAATATCTTAGATTATCTTGCTCAGCTTTAAGCAGTGACTTTTTCTACATTACTCACTAAAAGTGACATTCACTCAATGATCTTAAACATTTCCCCTGAGTTAAGTTTGTGTTTGTGAAGAAGTCTGAGATGAGAAGACGTGGTCTGAGAGCAATACAGGAGGCCATCCATACCCATTGTGAGCAACTGTCGCTGAGCAGAACTGGTGGCCTATGAAACCAGCTGTCAGCAGTCCTGAAATCCCATCCCATGCAGTTCAATCCTGACTTATGATGAGAGACCTTCGAATACAGACGAGTAACAAGGACAGGTGAAACAAACAATCGTGGCACGAGCATCTAACAGCAGTGCTGAAGTCTACCGCTGACTGACAGACGAGGTTGTGCTAGATCCATCTGAGGATTACCTACTTAAACGCGAGCCTGGAGTGGTGACCAGCCTTTAGCTTTAAAGTCCACAGTTTGAATGGACTGAGTGATTGACTCATCAGCTGTTTTAAAACAGATCACACCAAACTAAAAGGTGAAGAAAGCAATTGAAACAACTCAAATTCTCAAGTGAATAAACCTCATCCAAGGAGGTCATCAATCATGCCAACTCTGCGTCTCTGAGGCCGGGATGGGAACAGTTGGGAACAGATCAGAGGGAAGACGTGATGGTGTCTGCAGATTGTGCTGCTGTTTGAAAGACTTCCTGTTGAAGAACTTCAAGGATTTCAGTGTGGTTACTGTGATTTTCTGTAGCAACAGTACACACCTGCATTTTTCCAAACTCACAGCTGCACTCTTATTACTCAGGAACAATCGTCTTGATACATGCTCAATCATCCAGGTGACTTCTTGAGTTTCAGCTGACTGCAGGGTTCCAACCTTATAAACAGTACATTTGCATAATGACTGAAACTAGCACCACTGATGAACAATGAGGTCAGTTTCCATCTGTGAATCTGTGAAACCTGTGAAATCTGTGAAACCTTACAAAGTGAAATATGTAATATTTGTAAGGTTGGGGAAACCTGCGGTCAGCTGAAATTCAAGAAGTCACTTGATTGACGATGGAACATTTCTCCCACTTAAAGTCCAGATGACCAGAAACTTTTTTGATGACTCAGGAAAAATAATGTCTACAAATAAATCTCACCAGGTTTATTTGTGGAGTTCATTTCAGCTTTTGCCTAAAGAAAATTGGCCACAAAAATTGTTTCCATAAACTTTTCAGAATTTCTTTTTCTTCTTCTGAGGAAACTGAATTCACTGTTTTTTACGACCTGCTGAAACCTTAAAAATGAACCGCGATGCAACAAACTGCTGCTCAGCTCATAATCATGTTCATGAAGGACAACAAGAACACCACCAACCTGTGACTCTTTAAATCTTTTACTCACAGTAAAGCATCACTCAGGGTGGTGATGCTGCCCTCTGCAGGCAAACCCAGGTTTTACATCCAGCAGCACTTTTAAAAATGTCCAGTAATCATACGTCATCAGTTTGTTTTAAAACATATTTACATTTCCCAGGATATTAATGTAGTACAAAACTATAAAGAAGAATTTACTCAAAATAAAAACACACACATTTGATTTCATTCAAATGTCTTACAAACTCAGAAGGTATGACACACTGAGACACACTAAACTGGTTTAAAGTAACTCCCTTCACTTCATACATGGAGCAAAACACTGAGTTTCACCTGCTGAGAATGACAGTTGCCCCAAAATTTTAAGGGTGAACATGAAGTTTTGGCTCTTCCTGAGCGCTGCAGCTCAAACCTGTAATCACCTCTGTTACCATCACAGGCCTGACTCGTGTTATCTACACCCAAAGATGTCTTTCATCTCACTGATTCATTGTTTAATATAAGATACACAAATACAAATGTAAACAGCATGATAGAAAATCTTCATCACCTCATCATGATGAGAGCAGATCTGCTTCACAGAAGCTTCAACAAGTTTTGGTGTTTTGAAAGTCTGAGAGTCATAGTGAGGTTGGAGGTGTTTCTCACAGTAGGAGGCCCCACAGACCCTGGTGGCTTTACGTTTCCTCCCACTGCAAACATCACAGGCCACATCTTCAGCTCGAGCAGGGTGGAGCTCAGGCTTTCTCAGCTCCTCCACTAAAGCTGCTAGTTCAAGCACCCCCACAGGCCAGTACCGGTCAACCATACAGCCTCCATTGGAACATAAAGCCCCCCCCCCAAAAACAAAACCAATAGGAAACCCTACTAACTCATCCCGGGACCCCTCAAGAGATCAGTTGCTGCCTGTAAGAAGAAAAATCCTGCCTGAAAAATCCTTCCAGAATGGAAGAGTTAATAACACAGAACAATCCATTTATATCAATGATATCAGTGATGATAATGTAATTAGTACATTTTTATAAATCTAGTCAGTGATTAAAATATTCTCAGAAAGGAAAATTACTCGTGTCCAATTCAATCTCATGCAAAATCAAGATACTACAGTTACATCTAATGAGTTAATGAATAGAGACCATGGTTCAATAACAGAGGCAACAGAGCTCAACAAGGAGATTCAACCAATCATTAATGCTAAAGGATTGTTTATTTTTCTAATTAATAGGTATTATTTTCTCACCAATGGCTAGAGTGGTGAGTATGTGTTTAGCTTTTTTGGTTGGATGACCGAGGTTTTCTCAGTAAACACAAATGAGGAGATAATGGGACTCTGCAGCCAAAGATGGAGGTATGTGTTTGAGTAATTTCACACCAAAAATGCCAAACAGGCGAGCAGATCCATAGTGCAAGAAATATGTGTCTGTGGTGTTTTGAGAACACTGAGTGCAAATATCAGAATCAGAGAAGCCCATTTTATTCACCCTGTGATGTGTGATATGAGTTCTGTGCAGGATTTGAACTGAAAGGGTTGTAATTTTTTTTTGTGATTACAATTGTATATTTACAAATCTGTGTCCAAAAATCTGATTCTGAGGACAGCTGAGAGTATTTTTGGAGATGGGTAAACTGATACAGTGAAATTAATCTATTCAGTTTGGAGAGTTTTTTGTTTTTTGGATGAATGACTTTCCAAAGAGCTGCAAAAAAGCAAGGACCAGCTGACTTTGTCAGAGGCTTTTTCTACAATCACACTTGTGTGGGCTGGTGAGGCACAAGGGAAAGGTTCAGCAGGTGGAGACCACAGACTGCTGCTCTCTCCTGGCTCGTTCTTCTTTTAGCAGATAAGATGATTTTCTAAGTTTGTGTTTGTTGAGTCTCTACTAAAAACTTTGGCTGTCAGGTGGCAAAGGAGCAATTAAGTCCTTTCCTGCTGGGTTCACCCAAAAACTGCTATACTAGTTTTGTTTTAATTACAACATGCTGAGGTCAGCCTGATGACATCAGTTTTCATGGATCATTTGTGTTGATATCAATATGGAAATCTAGTGTTGTATATAAATCTTTGTGAAGTCATAATGTTGCATGAAAAAAAATGTTTTAAAGCAGGGATGTACCCCAAGGACTAACACATTGTTGTGAAGTTGAGATGACTCAGTAGAAACTAAAGCCTTTACTTAATCGCTGATTACATGCTAACCTGTGTATTTTATTATCTGTACACATATGACAGGTGCACATTGGCTGAAATCTTTGGCTCCTATAAGCTGTAAAAACATAGATTTTTAAAAAAAAAAATAAGGCGTGCTGTTCAGCTGTTTCAGTGTCTTTTTATATGATATATTACTCAGTGTGGTTTCTTGGAACTTTTTTCAAGGTGAACTTTGAAACAATGGTCAAATGCTTAGCCAACCTAATGAAAAATGAAATCAGCTCCAGCTCTTACTAGCGTCTGCCATGTGAAAATAATAACCGCAGACACCAGACTGCTAGCAAACAGAGCAGATTACATTCTGCATCCATTCAGGGAGAAAATGAAGAGTCATTTAAATCGTGTGGTTTTGTTTTGTACGTGTGAATCCTGAATGTGCTCATCGATCGTCAGCTGGCACACTGGTGAGGCATGAGCATCAGACAGGTCTGAGATTTATCCTCCATGCTTTCAGACTCTCCCAACGGCATTAAGGTGCAATCTTTCTGAGAATAACCTACTAACATCAAAGTTAAAGAAACCCAAAGAAAATAAGAATAAACTGAAATAAGAAAAGAGGAACCTGTAATCACTGATTTGGTTCATGCAGATAGAAACATCCAATTCAGACATTTCAGTTCTGGTCCAATAAACACACAGAGGGTGATAAACTTAAGAAACAACAGATTTATTAAACAGAATGAAGAGCAGAGGAGACACCCTGCCTCACACTGACGTTTATGTTTTATTACAACAACACCTGTTTCTGCTTCTTATTAAAGGCTCATTCCAGTTTATTTCAGCCTGCTGCACCTCCCACGCCGAGGGGAAATCAGCCGCTCAGAGGTAACATGAGGGGGGTAAAGCTGGTCCCAGCTCCACACTGAAGGGGGTGAGCAGGATTGACTTCTCACTCATCCTCATTTTTCTTTCATGAAACTCTTTGACATGAAATTCTGTTTGATTGTACATGATACAGGGAAATGCTCACTGATTTTAAAGAGGACCTGCTCTGCTCTTCCTCACTTCCTGTCGTGCATCATTTCCTGTTCCAGAGCAGAATTTCATGTTAAATGTAAGTTTCTGATAATGTGCTGATCGAATCACTCAGTTCATCTTAGTTTTTTCTACTTATGGCTCTGTATGTCACAGAGAGGGGACACAGAAGCACCACCCACCACTGTTCTGGTAGGGAGGGGGAGCCAATCAGATTAAAGTTGGCTTAAAGTGGGGGAAGCTTAAAAAAAAAAAAAAAAGGACTAAAACAAAAAAGATGAACTAATAACATTAAGTCACTTCTTAGCAGTGAGGTCAAAGGAGAAGCATGGATTAAAGGTTTGTGGTGTGAACTAAGCCTACACACTAAAAGAAATACCCTACAAAATAATAAGTTCATCCTAAAATAATTCAGATGACGAAGGCCTGAGATTTTAATGGAAAACAACATGTTTCAGAGTTTCCACCACAAGCTGGCCTTAAACCAGAGAAAACTTTAATAGCTGTAAAGCTACAGAAAAATTAGTTCACAGGTTTTTCCGTGGACCTGCTTTAAACTTAATTCTTCATCTGTCACTGACTGGATTGCTGTGGTTCCCTTTGACACTCCTGATCATCAGACTAAAAATACTTCAGCCTTCTACAGCTGAGGGGTTAAAAAGTTTATAGACATCCTGGTTTTTTATCCTTTTACAGAGCATTAAAGTGACTGCTGGGAGTTTTTGGTCATGCTAAATAAAACAGCTCCATAACAATGAGAAAAAATATTATGCTTTCTAAACATAAGTCCTAACAGGAAGCAGGTATAAAGAAAAATAAGAAGACCAAGAGTAGATCCTTGAGGAACATCACAGAGCTCGGGAGCTGCACTGAGGCCTAGTTTGTGATGTTTTTTTATGAACTGTCAGTGATGCAAAGAATAGGTCCCCTTTAAAATATACTATATACAAGCCTCAACCACAAACCTGCGTTACATTTACAAAAAATAAATAAATAAAATAAAATTCAGAAATACTGCAGGCATCAGAACATCATACGTGTCTGAAAACACTGAACTAAAGCTGACGTTATGAGCAGCCACAACATTAAAGCCTTTGCAAGACACCGAACATCTCACTGGGATCCAACGGTCCTGGTGTTCAGGTGGACATTTCTGACACGGCTTACTGTGATGCTTGGGCGAGTGGACCAAGCATGGCACGCCCCCGGTGGCAGCAGTCTCCCACAACAACATCAAACTGTTTAGCAGCAGTTAAGAGAACAAAGAGGTTAAAGCAGAACGAAGAGGAGCCACCGCCTGTGAAGAAGCTTCAGAGTAGGAACAACAGGTTTTAATTTTGTGGCTCACCCACTTTTTTGGATCGAGAGCAGAAAAAAAAAAAAAAGTTTGGCATTCAGTGGTCGGTGTGGCACTGTGAGTGTACATGGTTATGGAAAACAGGTTCACCGCACACTCTGAGACATGTGTAGAGGCGTAAGCATCTCCTCAAAGATGGCACCCTTCACGTTGGAGCCCCGCAGGTTCGCCTCCTGAAGGTCGCAGCCGGACAGGTCGCAGTTCTGCAGGAACAAGAGAGAAAATGAACCTGAAAGCATCACGGACAGCCTGTGCATTTCTGGAGCTTGTTGAGGTTTTTATGCGTTTGTGTCTCCACCACCTCCTGAACATTTCTTAAGTTGAATAAATTGAGCCAATTAAATTATATTAGTCATGCTTCTCTCCAGGTACTCCGGCTTCCTCCCACAGTCCAACGGTGTGCAGTTAGTGGGGTTAGGTTAACTGGTGATTATAAATTGCCCATAGATGTGAATGGTTGTCTGTCTCTGTGTTAGACTAGCAACCTGTCCAGGGCATACCCCGCCTCTCGCACCAAGACAGCTGGGATAGGCTCCCCCCGCAACCCTCAGTGGGATCATTAGAAGAGAATGGAAGTGATCATGTCTGACTGAAGCTGCGTCATCAGCTTTTTAATGTTACAGGTCAGATTAAATCACATCTTTAGCATTTGGACCGAGCACTCAGTCAGTCTTCCCGCACAGGAAATACATCTGATTCAGCGTGGCATAGGCACTTGCACAGTGTGATGTGTTTAGGAAGCGAGACATTTATCAAGCTCATCAATGTGAACAGGACACACAGGTCAGATCTGTTTTGAACTCCAGGCTCATGTGTGAGTGTGCGTGTGCATGTCTGTACAGACCTCGAGGTCAGTCCCAGCCAGAGTCGCCCCCCGCAGGTTACAGTTCTTCAATTTGGCATTCTTCAGCGTGGCGACTCTCAGGTTGATGCCCGTCATCTGACTTCCCTCCATGTCCACACCCTTCAGGTTGGCCCCTGACCCA